ACAGAAACATAACCCCCCAGCTCAAAACCATGCTGCAAAAACACTCAGAACAGTTTTTAAAAAGCAGAAAACAGCACCTTACCTTACCAGGCAGCCCGAAGCCTCCCTGCACACACACATACACACTCACTCATAAGCAGAAGGAGGCAGTCCCAAGCCTTCTCCGGCGCACACTCTCTAACTGCTGGGGCGAAAGAGCTACCAAGACGCAGCCTCATCGCCACCTGCAGTTAGCAATTTGAATTTCCCACCTTTTCTCCCTGTTTGCTGATCGTTGTGAAGCAAAAATCGGTTCCTGAAGCAGGGAACCGATCATCGCACAGCGAAAAAAACTCATTTAGAACGTCGTTTTGCGATCGCAAAAACGTCAATGTAAAGCGGATTCGTCATAGAGCGGGGTAATCGTCCAGTGGGGCACAACTGTATTTATTTTTGTAAAGTAAACAATGCCCCCTTGAGCCCCCTAGTAGCCAAACTTTGAAAAAAATTAAAACCTTGGGACGGCACAGCTGAATGATTCCTATGAATCATCGAATCCAGCCCTTGTTGAGGAGGCACAGTGAGGAATTGAACTCCCAACCTTAGGATCCGCAGCGGGAGACCTAGGCCACTGAGCTATCTAGCAGTTCCTCCAGTAGTTCCTTGGGGTACCGATGCAGACTGCAGACCATGGTTTGCCTGCTCCTGCTTTAATAGGGAGCATTAATAGGGCTGGGGGGGGCAAAGATGTTCCGCAGGTGGGTGGTGTTACAGATACCAGTTATGCCCCATTTATAAATCAATTTATTTTCCACTTTCCAGTGTTTTTACTCCATCATTTGAAGCCAAAACACAAAATCCAAGTAGATGCTAATATCTACTGTATATTTGAATTAGCATGAGAAGTGTTCTTTTCGGGTCTAATGAGACAGTCACTTGAAATAATTTTTCTAATTTATTCTGGTAGGTTGAAGACTGCTGCTTAAAACCCCAAGTACAGCTGTCATAAGTGTGGTCCGATCAAGTTGGGAAAATAAACAGGAACACCTCTTAGCCCTCTTCACTTTCCTTTTACTGAAAGGATAATTTTTCTCTCAGTTTTTTTAGGGGTGGGAAATTACCATATTCCCCTCTTCCTTTTCCAAGGGAGGCTTGTGGCAGAGTTGGTGAGAGATGGGGCCACTTACTCTGGGTGTCAAAATGGCTGGTTGTTGTTCTGATTAAGCTGAGGTCTGTCTAAAGAGCAGGAAAATCATTTTATGTAATACCAATAAACGCTTGAAATATGCAAGAAGCTTGTTGTCATGCTGGAGAAGGTAGAAGTGGTCATGATGAAGCTGTGCCTTTTTTTTCTTCTTCAGTCCACAGATTGATTTTAACAAAGCACAATAAACGCAGTAGAGCTTTAATTGGGAGCATCTAGTGAGATGCTTCGCTTTGATTTCTATTGGCAAATCATTTATACTATTATTCTCGCCTGCAAGGACAAACAGTCAGATTAATTGCATGAAAGGCAATAAACTATTTGTAAACACTTTGCAACAGGGGCCTTTTTTCAAGTAATTAAGAATAATGGCTGATCTTTGATGTCGGCATGACCAGTCTCCCTGCTAACAGCAAAGGTTCCACTAAGGTTACTTAATGGGGGAAGCAATACCCACAAGGTGATGGAGAATTACAACGACATGATAGCATTTGCTTAACTCAGACTCAGTGCAAGAGCAGGCAGCTTTGTCTCCGGTGGCAGCCGTCCAAGAGAAAACACTTGGGGTCAGACTCCGTTGTCTGTCTCACATTGTAATAGGGGGTAGAAATAGCTGCAGTCAATTGGAACAGTGCCAGCTGCATCCGAGGCTAAGCCACAGCAGAATTTAGCTTCTGAGCAGCATTGGCTCATCCCTTGAATATTCAGGAGGAAAGAATGAGAGTCTCTCTCTCTCTCTCTTTCTCTCTCTCTTTCTCTCTCTCTCTCTCTCTGTTACTCGGAGCCTTCAATGACAGCTGCAAGGCAATAAACGCTTGTGTTTTTGAACTGCTGTCTCTGTAGTTAATGAGCTTTTAAATGGGAAAAAATAGAGCCCTCAATGTGATTTATGAAAGGACATTTACTGGAAAAAAATCCTCAGTATTTATGAAAATAGGAAGGGAGGGGTGGCAGAGTTTTTGCACAACTCATGGCACTTCCTTTAATCCCTTGATTTTCATTTTGCTCCACAGTGAGCAGGCATAAACTCATCACCATCAATTAAGTAGAATCAAGAATACTTAACTGAATATTCACTGTGGGGGCTTATTGCTGTATTTAGAAACACGGTGGGTTTCACACACACACACCCTCTCCCCCTTTTTAACTTGTCTCATTTAACTTCACTTGGAATCAATACCAGGGTTCTTATCCGCATGAAATGCCACTCTTTTATGACAGAATTCTGTAATTCTTAATCACTTAAATAACCCCATTAGCCATGTGTCACTACCATCATGATGAAGTGCAGCAAGCTGAAATGCTTACCTGTATATGCTAACATAATTGCCTTTAATGAGCTTCTCAAGCTATTAAATTAGTGAAATTGCTGCCTGTTCACTTAGGTGGCCACTTAGAGGTGTCCGTGCAACTGTGCCCTATAGTGGGACAGGGGTATATTGAATTTCTCATGTGTACTTGTGTTATTTTGTTTTATCTTACTCCAGCTATTGGGCTGGACCATTCTTGGCCAGTCCAGATGACTTAATGTGTATGGGAAATATCTTATTCCAGACCATGATACTGTTGTCTATTACTCTGAGGGCAACAAAGTTGGATGGAGTCTCTTATATTTTATATAAACAAGCTGTTTCTTTTGTTACGTAAGGGGAAGGAAGTCCATCTGCAATGCAGTCTTTAGCATGTTTTCTGTTTTCTGTGGGGTGTAACTCTTTAATGTACAGGTTAGGATTTCATCCTTAGTATAGAGAGTAATGCCATCTAATAGAAAGAACTACTTTGTTGTGTTATGCCCGGGAGGCAGAGTAAAATCTAAAAGTCTGCACCACATTTTTATTTCATCACGAAGGAATCTATAAAAAAGTTCAAAATTAAAACAAAACAACCCATTATAGTGTAGGAAACTTAGATTTGCCTTTGTCCAGAGCATCAGGCATTTTATACCTTTTCCATATGACTGAGAGTAAGGAGCAAACTGGATTATATCATGTCTCTGGATCAGGAGTTCTCAAGCTATTAGGGATAAAGAAGTGATAAAGGTAAAATAGTGCTATAGACCAGTGGTTCTTAACCTTTGTTACTCGGATGTTTTTGAACTGCAACTCCCAGAAACCCCATCCAGCACAGTTGGTGGTGAAGGCTTCTGGGAGTTGCAGTCCAAAACTCCTGAGTAACCCAAGGTTAAGAACCAGTGGAATAGACTATTCTTTCTAGTCTGTTCTGAGCAGGTCTAAAGGTACTGGAATCCACCTCCTATCCTCAGCCTGATGGAGATAATTCTGTTGTTAATCAGTAATGCATGTGCTTTTCTGAACGATTAGAGGAAACTTTGGCTTTCTTTGAAGAAATGCCTGGAACAAACCAATAGCTATCTGTCATTGTGCTCGCAGCACTCAGAAGGCCAGTGTTACATTTTGTCTCTCGAATCCACATTACAAAGTTCTGTCAGTTCCTCCAAAGACAACTTTTCAAGGCTTCAGGTGAAAGATTGCAAGACAAGGCCTTAATCTCTCACCAGAGAATCATAAACCACCACCTTTGTTGCTGTCCAATAATTCTACTACTTGCAATTCTTGACAAAAAAATGAGTCTCATTGCTTTTAAATAAACACGTAGTTTGGCTTACCATCTGTTGATGTGGAAACTACCTTCAATAAGTCCTTGAGCAAATATATGGTTCCTCGCTTGGGCACATGCAGAGTTCCTCTAGACTCCTGTCAGACTGAAGTAGAGGACCTGATGTGACATGGTAGGGAGATTACTCATCGTAAGGGAGGGGAAGGAGAACTGTAGTATAAAAAAGCAAGTGAACAAGCTGTAGTATAAAAAGCAAGCAAGCACATGCATGCTATCAATAATCCAAGCATACTCCTGTTAACATATAACTCTTTGTCTCCTCCTGTTTTTCTAGATGTGTGACTCCACCACCATGCAAACGCGAACTCGTCATGTGTTGCGATCTGCTTTAAAACCTAAGACCTGCCCTGAAATTTCTCAAATGCAGCCTTGTGTTCTGAATCATAATTGTTTTCAGTATCACTATAATTTAACAGGTAAGTACCTTTCAGAGGGATGTGGTGGCACTGCGGTTTAAACCGCAGAAGCCTCTGTACTGCAAGGTCAGAAGACCAGCAGTCATAAGATCGTATTCCACGCAAAGGAGTGAGCTCCCGTTACTTGTCCCAGCTCCTGCCAACCCAGCAGTACGAAAGCATGCAAATAAAGGTAAAGGTTCCCCTTGATAATTTTTGTCCAGTCGTGTTCGCCTCTAGGGGGTGGTGCTCATCCCTGTTTCCAAGCCATAGAGCCAGCATTTGTCCGAAGACAATCTTCCGTGGTCACATGGCCAGTGCAACTTAGACACGGAACGCTGTTACATTCCCACCGAAGTGGTCCCTATTTATCTACTTGCATTTGCATGTTTTCGAACCACTAGATTGGTGGGAGCTGGGACCAGCGGTGGGCACTCACTCCGTCTCATGGATTCGATTTTACAGCTGAAGATCTACAGACCTTGCAGCACAGAGGTTTCTGCAGTTCAACCCACAACGCCACCACGTCCCTGCAGATGCGAGTAGATAAATAGGTCCCACCTCGGTGGGAAGGTAACAGCATTCTGTATCTAGCTGCGCTGGCCACGTGACCATGGAAACTGTCTACAGACAAGCGCTGGCTCTACAGCTTGGAGATGGGGATGAGCACCGCCCCCTAGAGTCGGATACGACTGGACTAAATGTCAAGGGGAACCTTTACCTTTACCTTACCTTTCAAACTGATCTGGAAGAGAGTGCAGTGCATCCTTTGCTGTGTCTGTATCTGAAGAGGTGGGTGGAAACAGTGATAGGTATGACTTGCGAAGGGCCTAGAGGCTGGAGACTCGGATTGAAATCCTCAGCCTAAAAGCTTGTGTGATGGCCTTTACAGAGTCCCTGTCACTCAGCTGGATCAGTGAATGATTTGCCTCACTTATTAACATATTAGTTGTTTGGAAGTTATGAAAACCAAAGTACTCTGAATATGGAAAAGAGCTGTAGAATGGCAAAATTGAAATGAGCACATGAAGCCGGTGAACAGTATTTAATACAAGCTTTTAAAGGTTACATGGACTATTGCCTGAAATTACCAGAAATAAAGTCTTGTTTACTCAACATACAGGACTCGTATTTTCATTTAATATCTTCTTAAAACCCTTCCCCCGAGCATAATTATTTTAAAGTAAATACCAGAAAGTTAAGTAGGGTTATTTCGGACTTAAAATACCGAAGAGACACTGAATCAGTATCCACATTTGCATGCTGACAGTGCAGTTCTGTGAGGTGTACAAAATATAAACATTTTGGAGCTCTGGAATGTTTGTAAACTGCAGCTTCATAGTTCCTCAGTCTGGATCAGGGCCTTTTGCACAGGGAAAGAGAACTTAATCACCTCCCCTTTTTGTGGTTCCAACACAAAAATGGCACTTTTCTGAAGCTGCCCTTTGTTCCAGGAGGAGGAGAAGCTAAGTCTGTAGTCTTTCTTTGTAGAGAATAAGATTGCCTGCTTTTTTTTCTTTAACTGATCAAAATGTAACTCAGGCCAAAATCCAACTATTTACACCACTGTAAGCCCAGTAGCACAATTTTCAGCACTGAAGTGCCACCAATTAAGATGTCAGCACTTGTACATCTTGTTCACCGAATCACATGACTGCTGCGCAATAGGCCATTGAAATTCATCTTATCGGAGTAAACACAAGAAGAGCAAATTGCAAAATTATTCCTAGGGGCTTTTGAAACCCCAAGATTGGATTCAGAATTAAGAATTCAACCTATTTCAGTGATGGTTATCCCAAGATCATTATTGGTACAGTATTCATTCAAAATATGCTATAATGACTATTGATTCTAAGGGCTGTGATAGATAGCCCAATTGAGTCACTTGAGGTTGCTATGAGGTGTGGTATGCCATTTGGTGATTTCAAGTCAGGAAACCACTGCTTGTCAAGCAAACATATTTGACCTACCTTGCTTTAAAAGGAAAGGAGGAAAAGAAGATTGGAAAAAAGAAAACACACACACCTCTCTCTGTTCGCTCTTCCTTCTTGAAGGAAGCTGTCAATTTTTTTTCCCTAAAATATATAGTATATCACCAATTCCCTAACTAGACAGTTTTTTCAAAAGAAACATACAAAACAAAGGAAAAACCCAACTGTTGCTTCCTCTCTCTCTCCCCCTTCTACAGAGAAGTGATGGAAGTTTTTAATTTCCCAATATTGTTAAGTAGCTTAAGCTGTTTGCTCAAGCCACTTAATGATATTGGAAAATTGAAAAAGCCATCTGCCTTGATTCAATCCCAGCAATCACAGGTGCTAGAACCAAAATGGAGTGATCTTACCCTTCACCTAAAATGAAGAGTAGCCCCTGACAGGGAGCCAAAAATGTGCAGGCAGAAACACTCTGGGGATGGGCTGGTTCACCCTGGCACCTATGTTGTGTGGTTGCCAATGAAGAAGCAAACTAGCCTGTCCCCAGAGAAGACCACAAAAGCAGGACAAATCCCAATCTAGTTGCTTTAAGTAAGCTTCGAAGAGATTGTTCTAGGTACTCCTTAAATATCCCTGAGCATAAATATATTGTCATAAATGAAGCAGAGACACCCCCCCCCAAAAAAAAAGATGTCTGCATCCAATAATCTTGGTAAAGCCATTTCACAGGACAGGAGCTTTGTTGCTAGAAAAACTTATCCATTCACTTTAGTGAGGAATTGTTTATGCTTATTCCTCTTAGGTAAGAATGAAATAACTTGCCTGACCTTCATATTCCTAGTAACCAATATGAAAACACTCACATCCATACAAATTGAACATCCCAAGGACCATTGAAAGGGAAAATATGTAACATCTGGATGCATAATTATTTTACTTGCACCTTGAAGATTTAAATGTCTCCCCATTGCTTACAGTTTATAGACATTGGTGAGATCACCTTTGCAGAAAGATAACAATGAATCAACAGCCTATTTAAATTGTTTGCACAGGCTTGAGGAGTTGCATTAATATTTTAAAGACACTTCATTTATTTCGTTTTAAATGAAACATGACAGGCTTTGTCAGACAGAATTCAGCTGGAGCTTGTGATGCTTTGTTTTAAAGCAGCAGCACTTCAGAAAATGTTTATAACTTTGTTATTCAGAGGAGCAGCATGACCCTTGATAATGCCCGGGCTGCATTTAAAGTGAAACATCTTATCAGCACTGGACAGTTTTCAGTGCACTCAGAGGGAATGTAACTTTTAAGAGATGCTAAAACAAAGTCCATGTTGGTTTGTTTTCAAAAATAATCTTTGTTCTTGGGTTCTGTCTGCCACCTCAGACAAGGATGGCTTCGTTGTCATTGTGTTTAAAAAATTAAAATGTTCCTTCAGCAGTGACTAGCGGAACTAAATGTAGCTATGATGTTTCTTTAGACTGGAGCACATGTCAACTAAATGAAAATGCCACTTGTGGACACGGGATTAAGAATCGCCTCCTGAGCTGCATGCGTAGTGATGGGAAATCAGTGAGTAGGAACTACTGTGAGCAGGTGAGATTTCATCTGGACTTTCAATGCAATGATGTATCTGTGCGTCTTTGGGTCACTTGCATCGCATAGGACGGTATCTGGGTTTGTAAAGCTGTCCTTTCCCCCCTTCTCTGTTATGACAAATCATATTTGAATATATATATTTTTCCCACTTCTGCTTTCTGGTTTCAGCATTTTGAATCCTCTGTGTAGGGCTTCAACACCATCCTGAAATCTATTGTTGAACCAATAGAACTTGAAAGGGCCAACAGGGCCAGACCATAAACAGTCACCAATGGCTACCAGAGAATTAACTACACTCCCAGTCCTTTCCACAGCCCGGGCTTAGCGTTCATTGGGGAGGAGTGGAGGCCTTTCTCCTCCACCAAGTCCAGGATGCCCAGTAGGCAGGCCAGGGCAAGGGATGCTGGATGCAGGCAGTTAACTGCCCCAGCAATTGGGTGGTGAAGGCAGCTTCTCCCAATAAATCTCCTTGCCCTTTGTGACCTTCAGCCACCTTCTAAGTGTGGCAGCTCTTACTGGAGGCATTGCTGAAGTTGACACAGACTTGACTGGCTCTATCTGGGTGGTGGGGTGGAGGACAGGCAGATGTGGCGCAGGGTACCTTTCTGGGACCAGACTGGGGTCTAGCATGAGAAGCCTCTGAGGGGTCTGGCTACTCCTTGTGTTTCTTCTGACAGTGACGGATGTGACCCTTGTTCTCCAGCCACCAAGCTCCTTGTAGTGAGCCTCATTGTAGCATACCCAGGGAGTACCAGTAGGTCAACCCAGTCCCCTGTGTCCCAGTCCCTCCTCCAATGGACCACCTCCCAGCCATCTCTCGATTCAGGTCTGGTGGCCAGCATCTCTTAAACCCCACACCTCCTAATCCACTACATCAGCCCAACAATCTTCCTCCACTGCTTCCTGCTCCTCTTTAGGTAGGAACCCCACCATGGTCACATCTGGGGCCTCAAGGGTGTCCCCTACCTCCTCATTGTCTCCACAGTCTATCGGGGAGCTACATTCAGGGAATGTGGCCAGGCATCCCATAAAGGCAGAGAACCTACCCTCACATCCAGGGACCCTCAGTGGTCCCACAATGGCTTTTTAAAGAATGATAACTTCAGGAATAAAAAAAGTATAAAAGTTTAGGGATAGGCATGCAAGAGCTATAGATACAAAGATAACTAATAAATGTATGCCTGTATCTTTTAAAAATATTTTAAAATATTGTCTCCACTGTTCCTGTTTTTTAAAAGCAAAGTGCTTGGAGATTTATATTTGTATCCTTTAAGATACAGATATGAATATTGGCAGCACAGGTGCCTTGGCAATCCAGTCCCTCCCCCCCTCCCCCGAACTGGCAGGTCCAATTACTGGTTGCTTTCAATCCTGGAAGCAGCCCAGCTGGTGCTTTCTGCCTCCCCGTGCAGCTGACCACTCTGGCAAGGAGTCAGGATGACCAGTCTCCCTGCTCAGTTGTTGAATGGCCAGTTGCACAGGCAGGCTGGAAAGTGCTGGCTGAGCTACTTCCACAATTGACACGACAGGAATGACACCGGCTGCTCACACTGCAAGGCAACCAGTAATTGGACCTGCCAGTTCGGGGGGGGGAGGGGAGATTGGACTTTCCAGGCATCTGTGGTGCCAACGTTCATATTCGTATCCCCAGGAATGCAAATGTATCCCATATCTAATCCCTACCTGTGTATTTTCCTCTTCACTCTGGCCCTTATAACATCGTCCACATAGGCGGCCCTCTGATACTGAGCTGCACATCCATCAGCTTGAATTAATTTAATAATATTTTGTTAAATTAACAGTGTTCAAACAATGTTATTTCTGGACTTTAAATCCATTCAGCCCAATTCTTCACACTCTCTATCATTTCTCTCTCCCCCAAACTCACAGTTCTCCTGTCACACACGCCCCGTCTCCCTGATCTCTCTACCCGAAGACTTATCTCTGTGCAGACTCCACTGTCTCTCTCACACACTCTCCCTCTTTATCTAGTTCTCTCCTAGCTAATCAAAATAATTGTTACCAATATTCTGTGCTTTTTGCTCATCCCATCCCATCATGTATTTTACCAAACCAATGCATTTGAAACAATACAATTACAGTGGTGCCTCGCTTTACGATTGCCCCGCATAACGACGAATCCGCTTTACAATGATCGTTTTGCGATTGCAATTGCGATCGCAAAACGATGGTCTAAATGGAGGAATTTCGCTTTGTGATGATCGGTTCCCTGCTTTGGGAACTGATTCTTCGCAAAACAATGATTTTTAAACAGCTGATTGGCGGTTTCAGAATCCCCACGGGTAATTAAAATGGCTCCCCGCTATGTTTAGAGACGGATTCCTCGCTATACAGGCAGAAAAAATGGCCACTGTATGGAGGATTTTCGCTGGACGGTGAGTTTTTACCCCATTGGAACGCATTGAACGGGTTGCAGTGCGTTCCAGTGGGGTTTTTATTTTCGCTTTACAATGTTTTCACTTAACTGCGATTTTCCTAGAACAGATTATCGCCGTTAAGTGAGGCACCACTGTACCACAACAATACCTTTAAATATTACCAGTCATCATAGCTTTCTACATTAGTACTGGGCATATTTAATGCATGTGGAATCCGTGTTGCTATTCCTCAGGGACCTCAAGACCCATAAGGCAAAAAATCTGGAGCAAAAGATAACACAGAAGTTGTTTAGAATTCTTAGAAATTAGAATTTTAGAAGTCCATGTTTGGGTGCCCACACTGAACACAATTCAATCACAGTCCATCTTGTTTATATGAATCGGCATATAAAGAATATTTCTGCATTGCAGTCATGACAGGCCAGATTCAGCTGGGACATAATGCAGACACTTCAGAGCAGGGGCAGTGTATAAAGACTACATATGTGAGCAAGCCAGCCTAATTCATTCAAAGAGCATTGTCTAACAAAAAGCTGAAAGAATGTTGCAGTCTGGATTGGGTGGACCTGTGTTCACAATGAAAATGCTAAGATGTTAAATCCCTGCGTGCTTTGCTTTAAGCTCTTTTTACTGGCTCTTTTCACTCAGTGACAAGTGACTCATTCTGCTTGCCTTTGTAGATAAATTTGGAAACTCCTACAAAAATCATTATGGACTGTGTTGTGGAATGTATCGTAAATTGCCAGTTGTCTGAGTGGTCTCCCTGGTCAGAATGTTCACACACATGTGGCTTTGCAGGTAACAGGGCCTTTTATGGTTTAATTAACGTCAGAACTGAAATATATTCTAGAGCGCACACATGAATGTTCCACTTTTGGTCACCAGACTCATTTGAAAGATGATGTATTATGGGGTCATTAATATTTCTGTTCCTTATTATTTAGTACTTATTTCAAGTATGGATATAATTTCTGGAACAATCTCCCCCCAGAAATTTGTCTGGCTCCCTCGCTGGGTGTTTTTAAGAACCAACTCAAGACCTGGCTCTTTAGGCAGGCCTTCCCTCCTATCAATACCTAATTTATTTGCTATCTTCAATTGTATTAATGTTGTTGTTTTATTTTATTTTATTATTCTTGGGTGTTGTTAGCTGCCGAGAATAGACTTCGGTCTAGATGGGTAAGATATAAATTAAATAAATAAATATTTTTCTTCCACATCGTGATTGCTACAAACATAGAAGCTCTACCAGTGTAGCTCTTAGATACATTTAGATGTATGCAGGCAATAACTAAACATGGATCAAACAATTACAACATGTAGTGTTGTCCATGTTGTGTTGTCCACTCCTCTTGTCCATGCGCTTGTAATCTCGAGATTAGACCATTGTAACACACTCTACGTGGGGCTGCCTTTGAGATTGATGTGGAAACTTCAAATGGTGCAAAATACAGCAGCCAGGCTTCTTAGTGGGGTGAAAAAAATATCAGCATATCTCCCCCACTCTGGCTGCTTTGCACTGGTTGCCCATTCGTTTCCACATTGATTTCAAAGTACTAATGATTATGTACAAAGCCCTAAACGGTTTGGGACCTCGATACTTGGCAAATTGTCTTCTCCCACCTAGATCTACCCAAATTGAGGGGCCCAATGCCGAGAGAGGCCCGGAAGGAAAGAACAAGAAACCGGGCCTTCTCGGCAGTGACCCCTCAGCTATGGAACACTCTCCCAACTGAAATCCGTCTGGCACCCTCGCTGGGTGTTTTCAAAAGCCATTTAAAAACTTGGCTCTTTAGGCAGGCCTTCCCTCCAGTCAACTAACTCAGTGGTTCTTAACCTTTGTTACTCGGATGTTTTTGAACTGCAACTCCCAGAAACCCCAGCCAGCACAGTTGGTGGTGAAGGCTTCTGGGAGTTGCTGTCCAAAACTCCTGAGTAACCCAAGGTTAAGAACCAGTGAACTAACTGATCTTTATTTTTCTTTCCTCAGCTATGTCATCTTGGCAATGTTTTTTTAGAAATAAGTGTTAAAGTTTGTATTTCTGATTTTTTTTATGTTTGCTATATTGCTGTGTTTTATTATGTATGTAAGCCGCCCCGAGTAGACTTTGTCGGGGGGGGGGGAAGTTTAATAATAAATAAAATAATGAAATAATAATACTGTAGTGTGTATGCCCCATCAAACTTAAACTGAGCTTACGTTTCTTTTTTTCTTTTTTCTTAATGTTATTTGGAGAAGTCTGTAAACATGTATTAACCACTAAACTACAGTGTTTGAAATTATATAATATGGAGTTCTAGTATGACAATTTTATGCAAATATGGGGAGTAAGCTAAACAGTATAATTGAAATATACAAGAATTTATGTGAAAGGTGTTAAATTCAGTGCTATATTTTCTGACTACACTTTGTTAGCTATGTGATGAATGCTATCATTATTTACAGCGTCCAGAGGCAAACATTAATGGACTATTATACTTGCACAAGTTTGTTGTTGCCTGTTTTTCTGATTAGAATTTTCAAATACAGCCAGTATTTTCCACGCAACATGCTACAGTATAATCATTCCTGTGTATTTGTAAATAAGATGGAAGGGAGGCAATGAAAATGCTGTTCTGGGGTCTCAGACTGTCCTGAAATAAACTACTCCCCTTGGGAGTCCTATTCTAATGAAAGATGAGTAGATGTTATGTTGTATAAAGTGGAAGCTTCTGCAGGAAGCTTTAGTCCTATTCAGGCACTGGCCTGAACATATGAATAGGGCTCTAATTGTGGTTAGTAGAGATGGGCATGAATTAAAAAAAATGGTGGTTCGTTTTGATTTTTGATTCATCAAGGTTAATGAATTATAAATTTATGATTTTTTCTGATGAATTGACAAATTGATTCATCAATTCATGTTATACTTTAAAACCTATAAAATGTTCCTCAAGCACCTAGAGACACCAGATTCACAGGGAAGCTTCCACCAAGTCTCTTCTACGTGCCCTAACAAGTTTGGTGAAGTTTGGTTTTCAGCCATCTGAGTTATACAACTGCAAAGAGGCTCCCACCAGGAAAGTTTCCCACAGGCGCCTAGATATACCAAAAGTTACAGAGAAGCTTTTCCTGACACTTCTCTACAAGCCCTCCAAGTTTGGTGAAGATTTGGTTTCAGACAATCAAATTATACACCCACAAAGTGGATCCCCCAAAAAAGTGCCCTTTGACAACTGGCTTGGGGAAACCCAATCTTTACCAAACTTGGAGGGATTATGAAATTTCTCAATAGAAATTTCTCTATACCAAAAATTGCAGAGAAGCTTTTCCTGACACTTCTCTACAAGCCCTCCAAGTTTGGTGAAGATTTGGTTTCAGACAATCAAATTATACACCCACAAAGTGGATCCCCCAAAAAAGTGCCCTTTGACAACTGGCTTGGGGAAACCCAATCTTTACCAAACTTGGAGGGATTATGAAATTTCTCAATAGAAATTTCTCTGTGATTGTGGTGTGTGTAGGTGCCCTTGGGACTGTTGTTTAGACAAACAAATCAATGAATCAAAAATTGCTAAAAATTGATTTGTACTCATTGGGGCATTGATTTATGAATACAAATTGACAAATTAGTGATTTTCGTTGGGGCATTGATTTAGGAATACAAATTGACAAATTAGTGATTCTTTGAACGAATTTGGTGATTCATTTTTAAACTTCTGCCCATCTCTAGTGGTGAGGATAGGGGGACGCATGTAATACCCAATGCTGGGGAGTCCGTCAGACTTAACTACTGACTGGATAGGAATGTCTAAAGAAGATACAAAGCACATTCAGCTGAGTGGAAACAGCAATAAAGTAGTGCTCTCAGTCACAGGAACTCTGCAAGTATGTTCAGGCAAAACTGCACTGGATATTTCAGTCTCCTCTTCAGATTTTGTGTTCAGGCAAAACTGTACTGGATATTTCAGTCTCCTCTTCAGATTTTGTCTTTAACACATAACTGTTTTCCAGTGATGGGGAGCCAGGTTTATGCACACACTAATGTCCCTATTATGATTATAGGCCTACCGAGGCATTCAGAAAGCCACCTGAATAGGGCTTTGTGTCTGCCCAAAACAAAAGATGAATGGAGCAATTGAAGGGGGTAAGACCCGTGTGTGAAAAGCCAAAACTCTGCAGTTGAATGGGGAAAGGCCAATGTGTGAAAAGGTGGTCTGTCCAGTAGGTAAAGTGAAGCAACCACCTCAAGTACCAGAGGAGCAGCTAATTATATTGCTTCAAGAGAAATCTGCTTTTGCTTCTCTGGAGATCCCCAAAACCTGTCAGGCCACAAGTGCCTGGCTTCACAGCATCCTTCATCAGTGACAACTACAGTGGATGGCTTAGCCAGCAAGATCCCCAGGAGGACAGCATAATGTGTCTGATCTGCACCCATAGCAGGCAGGGTGGGACTAGGCAAGTCCACTGGAAAAAAAAACTAGAGTGAATTCTCTCTCCCCCCTCCCCCCTCTTTCTCTAATCATAACCTGTCTAGAGCACAAGAAACACAATTCAGATCAATTAAAATATTTTTAGCATGCATGGTTTCTCTTGTCCTTCAAAACTGTCAATGCCTGTCATGGTCATCATTTCGCTGACTACAGTTTATATGGTGATGATAAATTTCAGAGGGCCATGCGACTTCTCAGATGTTTTCCTTACAAGCTTCATGTTGTGGAACTATACACAAAGTGTGATTTGTTGCTAGTGCTGCAGTACAATAGGACTCACATCTCCTGTGCCTGTTTTTCTTGGTGATAAAAGGAGACCATTTTCATAATGATTCCTTTTGATCCATACCTTTCTCCACCCTCTCCCTACCCCCAGTCGCATTCCTTTAAAATAAACATTCACTACACCGCTTGCATTAAGTAAATTATGCTATGGATCTTGCTAGCTCTTTATGTTTGCTGTGATTGAGCTCTTTGTACTTATTGTGATACTGCTTCATGAAGATTTATTTATATAAAAGTCTGATAGAAAGCCAGCTTAAGTAAAATGAATTCAGAATAAAAAGTTCTCCTCATAGCATTTGTACAGGAAACCACATGAATATTTAAACTACCTAATCCATACAGAGGAATGTTCAGCTGATGTTATGGGTATACAGCCTCTGTTGTGCTTAACATAGCAGATTACCAACCTCATACCCAGATAAGCTCTAGTAGATCATAATTAAAAAGGAAATGTTAACGTTCTTGGTATTATTTTTTAAAAAAATAATACCGCTGGATAGCTCAGTGCATTAGGTCAGTGGTTCTTAACCTTTGTTACTCGGATGCTTTTGAACTGCAACTCCCAGAAACCCCAGTCAGGACAGCTGGTGGTGAAGGCTTCTGGGAGTTGCAGTCCAAAACTCCTGAGTAACTCAAGGTTAAGAACCAGTGCATTAGGTATCTGGCTGCAAAATCAGAGATTGGGAGTATGATCTTGTACTGTACCTCTCAGAAGAAGAGCCAGCCTATGTAGTCTTGGGCAAGTTGCATGGTCTGACAGCTCCCTAGAGAACAGTAAAAGTGCTACTGTTGATTGAGCCATCCAAAAGACGATGGTTTAGCAAGTGACATAGATTACATGGGAAGTTGTTGTGAAATCAGTTTCTTCCTCAATATTAGTATTTTGTCATTGGTCTTGTAAGCTTTTCGTCAATAATCTTTTGAGGTTGATGGTTCTAGACACCAGAAGCAGGGTGATCACGTGCCTTTCTATAGTACAAGTGCTAATATGTTTAATTTAACAATATCTATCAATCCAAGTGGGTCAGGGCTACTTGGGGAAA